CTTCTTCTTTCTTCTTCTTCTTCTTCTTCTTCTTCTTCTTCTTCTTCTTCTTCTTCTTCTTCTTCTTCTTCTTCTTCTTCTTCTTCTTCTTTCTTCTTCTTTCTTCTTCTTCTTCTTCTTCCCTAGAACATTAAAATTTGCCTTTTCTGGGCCTGTTTAACATAATCCAGCAAATGAACTGATGCTAATGGGAAATTGAATGAAAGGGAGTCAGTGTTATTTGAGATTAATGTGATTTTTCTCCCAGGTATTCTATTTGCATTTTAACTGTGAGTAGGGGATAATTCCCATTCTGAGGTTGCTCAAGGCAACAGTGCCAATCAGTGGAGGATATATTTTTTAATAGGAAGACTTGGGAGACTTTCAAATCACCTAGCATTTAGGTAGCAATCTGGTCTTCCTGGGCCTCTGATCATTAACTACCTTTAAAGTCTGAATTACATTGGGTGATCAGTAGAGTTTTAGCTTTCCTTATATATGCTGATGGGTCCATGAGGAGAGCTTTAAAATTTAGGAAGCTTCTGGCTTCTCATGTCCTAAATTAGGAGACCCTAATTAGAGGAAAGCATTGGAATGTGAGGCGAGTACTCTGATTTCGCTGTTCATGTGCTGGTTCTCCTCACTCCTGCCTTGGTGAGAGTCAGCTCAGAGCTGAGCGAAGTGCAGCCCCAAAGGGAGCACACAGCCCGTCCCTCCTCAGCCTGTCCAGGTGGGCCCTTGACTTCTGAGTCCCACTAAAGTTATAACCAAACATCCATTGTCCCCTCCTGGAGGAACTACCACAGGGGCTGTGGGGTGTAAACTCAGTTTTAAGTAAAAAAACTATCTGATACTTTCAACCTTCAAGATACTATTCATCTATTTAGAGATGAAAATGGAGCCATGAGTAGACATTCCGAGTAGTGTCCATTTCGGTGGACTGACCAGTTGTTCACGCCGATTTCATGTTCCTGCTGTCTGGGGCTCAGGTGGGCCCAGGTTTGGGGGGCTGGTTCAGCCTCTGGGGATCTGAAGCAGCACCAAGTGGGCAGGGGACAGGGGCACCTCAAATGCCAGTGTAGCCCTTGTTTTGAAGTGGGGTTTTAAATACTGGCACCTGAAAAAGGGGGAGAAACTGGATGGAAATATTTACAAAAGAAAAGGCCATAAATGTCACTTGTTGCTCTTTTGCTTGTTTACCGTTGGTCTCAAGATAAAAGACATTTGAGGCGGAGACACGTGGTCGTGGGGGTGTATGCGGCTTATGGCGGTATGATGGTAACAGCGTTTCCTGCTCTGAGGTGGTAGCTGCCCACCATCTCTTCAGTCCCATCAAATGCTGAAGGGGGAGAGTCAGCCTCAGAGTGAAATCAGGCGGAGACATCTGATGACTGGCCCAAGGCTCTGCCCTGAGTTGGGTTCACACGTCTCGTGCCTGCCACGAGCTGCTTCAGCTGCACCTGAGGAGCCCCAGCTTCTGACCAAAGGCGCTGTGCTGGAATCACTCTGGAATCCTCTCTCATGCGGTGCTTTTTCCTAAACCTCTGAGGGGGGTCTGAGCGTACCATGATCTTGATTACTTTATTTTACTTCAGTTTACTTCAAGAAATAAGCTGAATAAATCAGAATACTGACTCAGGGAGGCCCTGATGACCAGATGAGAGTTCTTTTCTTATTCATGGATATACTTACTGTCTACATTCTGAACATTAGGATGCATCAGTTTCTAGAAGGCAGAAAATGCATCTGCAGAAAATGAAAGTTTCCATGTAGACTTAAACCCATTCTGTCCATCCTTGGCCCAGTGCTTCAGGTTAGTTAACCAAAACCTGTCTTTAAGAAAGCCTTTGCCCAGATTCTTCGAAAACATCCCTAGAAGCTTTATGTATAAGTGAGCTAAGTGGTGCTCATTAAAAGGACCTTACTGCAGGAACCCTTATGTGGAGTTCCAAGCTGTAGCTACCTATGTGCGACATCTAGAGGGAGGAGGAAGCATGCATGGACAAAGTGACAGTGTGTCTTTCCTGGGTTGGGTTGGGGTCAACCCATGGGGCAGAGCCATTTTGCTGAGTCAAGTGGCCGCTCTGGCTGTGTCCCTACTCCTCCTGCCTTTTCTGGGCAAGGCAGGAAGGAGCTGTTGTTTGAACTTGCAGAGCCAGAGGGGCAAACTGGACACTCCAGCAGGACAGGACAGAACTTGCTTAAGCCTGTGATTGATATGTGCCCTCATTGGCTTTTATGAGCTGAGAAAAAGAAAAGTAAACTTGTGATAAGATGACAACTATTCTAGGGACATAGGTATAATGCAAGTAAGACAAGGAAGATCCTAGACAGGATGTGATGAAGCAGTGAAATGTGCAGGTGCGTGTGTTAAAAGTTCAGGTGTGTGTGTGTGTGTGTGTGTGTGTCTTTATGATTGTGTTAGGGTGGTGGGAAGACCATTGAGAATCTTCCTCAGTGTAGAATGGAGTTAGACCTTGAAGGATGATTAGGGTTTGGCCAATGGGTTTGGCTACCTGATGGACTAGGGTCTAAGCTTGTACAGAGGCGACAGCCAAGGCACAAGCCTGTAAAGCAAGGGGAAGTCATTCGCCTCTCTGTGATAGGTAGGGGAACATGAGGAGGAGAGGATGAAAATGGGAGTTTGACCTTTCAAGAGGTTGGCAGGCATGAAGTCAGGGAGAAGGCTGTCAGGTTGCTCACAGAGGTGTGAAGAGACTTAGGCTGGTAAGCAGAGGGAGTGCAGAGAGGCAGGGTGTGTAAACCATCTGAGAAAGAAAGGTTGGATAAAAGATGCAAGGGGCTTGTTGAACATGGCGCTGGGATTTCAAGACTGGGTGGCAGGGAGGAGGGTCATCGTGGCAGAGGTAGGAAGTTGTTCCTTATGAGGGGTGGTCAGAGATTTGGTGTTCTGTGACTGGAGAGCATGGAGCTTACAAGCAAAACAGCTATCACGGGCCTTGGAGAAACAGGCCTGGAATCTGGGTGACAGGCCAGAGCACCTGCTCATCTGTGTCCTGTTGTCATTTTGGCCATTTTGAGATAGTGACCATCTGTGATATATAATTGGCTGGATCCTTGGCATGTTCATGCTAGATGTTTCCTGCTGGGTCCTTTTTTGGGCCAGAGTGGGATCATGCCTTCAGTGGCTAAACAAGGACTCTTGTCTCCCCTTTTCTGTTCTGCAGGGGATGCTCTTACATACCACAATGGATGGAAGTTTACAACTTTTGACAGAGACAATGATATCGCCCTCAGCAACTGTGCCCTGACGCATCATGGGGGCTGGTGGTACAAGAACTGCCACTTGGCCAACCCCAATGGTAAATATGGAGAGACCAAGCATAGTGAGGTATGTGACAGGCAAGCCTCTTCTCTGTCTCAGGTTCTGTCCATGCTCTGCTTCCAAAGGGACACCCTGCAGGCAGGTCTGGTGGCCCCTCTCTTGGTAACACTCTCAATCAGGGCACTGCCTACTCTACACTCCAGTGCTGCCCACTTTGTTGGTGGCAGGAAGATGGGAAGCTCGGGGCTGGCCCCTCTGTAAAGATGGGTGGCATGAGTCCCACACCATCTCGCTTTACAGATTCACACACGGATGCTGTCATGGCTTGGGCTGCTAGCACAAAATACTGCCGATTGGGTAGCTTGAGTAAACTCTAGGGGATGGGGAATCCAAGATAAGACTGGCAGCAGATTTGATCCTTGTGAAGCTGGAGTGAGTGGTGGGTGGTGGGTCAGATAACTCAGTAGACTAAAGCGCCTAGTCTACTGAGGTGGTGTGTAGTAGGGGTCGCCTCCTGACCTGTAAAGAGCTGCTTTCTCATTATATCATCACATGGTAGAGAAAAAGAGAGAGGCATCCTGACCTCGTCCTCTCATAATAAGGACACTGAGCTTGTCCTTAAGTGCTCTACACTGATGTCATCTAAACTACCTCCCAAAGTCTGCCTCCCTACGTTATCATACCAAGAGTTAGGGCTTCCACCCAGGACTTTCAGGAGAACACAAGCATTCAGTGCGTGGTAGATGCCTTATAGTACTGTCTAGTTGTTCTCATTAAACCAGAGTATTTTTTCTTGAGTGCTTGATCGCTAGGGAAGCACAGTCTTCTACTAAGAAGGTCAGAGCCTTCCTTAGATCCACTGTACCCCAAGCCACCCAGCATCTGCCCGGGCACCGTGCTAGCTCTGGCTCTGTGTCAGGAGTGTGCAGGGCTGGGTGACCCTGGGGTCTCCACTCCCTGCTCTCGCTCTGAAGCCTTCCCCTGGCAGCTCCTTGCACCTGCCAGCCCTTTTGTAGCCTCTTGACTCTGCCCGCTGCTGTGCATCTGCTGCCTGCCTCCTCACAGCTTCTTGAAAGTTGCATCTTCGCTCCTCGTTATCCTTATTCCTACCCTCCCTAAACCTTGGACTCCTGATTCTGGGTTTTTACCTTCACCTCCTGCGTCTTGATCTTAGCCTTTAGGAAGCCCCTTTCCCCCGACCAATATTACTGTCAATGCGAACATGCAGAAAGTCCAGGGTCATTTTATTCCTTCGGTCCTGATCACCTCCTTGTGTGCTCTTCCAAATGGAAGAGAAATTTGCCCCCTGAGAAGCCAAGGAGGGTGTCCCATGAATCCTGGTGGCAGTGCGGGAGCCAGCTCGGAGAGGCCTGCAGTCAGAGATCAAATATTTGAAATGAGCAGCCAGCATGCCCTAAACCATCCCCATATTTGCTAATAAAAGACATTCATCTGCTTAATGTGCTTTACACAGTCTGCAAGGCATTTAGCTTCTTGTTTATTATTTACCTCACAAATTAAAATACATAAAATTGGTCACTTGGGCTCTTTATTGGCCAGGTTGCAAGGTTATTAAGTGAATTAAATATTATTGTGCTCACCAGTCAAAAGACATAAAATGAAATTTAGTTTCCAGCAGGCTATTTGTTACCCCGGAGCTAATACCTAAACAATCTAAATTGAAAATGATTTTACACAATTGGCCAATTAATATGTTTATTTTTGCCTTTAATATTTGGAAAAGCAAAAGAGGGGAAGCGAACCTAATTTAAGGACGTCTGAATAGGCTGACCCTGTGTGAGCTCCAGGACTCAAACGCTTCAGTTCCCTCTGCCTGTCTAACCCCAGCTGCCCAGCAGAGGGCGTGTGCCTCGACTGGTCCTCCCCTCCCGGATCTCAGCCCCAGGGACCCCTGAGCATTTCTCTGCGCTCAGCAGAAAGGAAATAAATGGACAGACTTCCTAAAGAAATGGAATGATTCCCTAGTATCAAAAGCCACTCTGCATTCGCCACGAGAGAATCTTTTTGATTTTTTTTTTTTTTTTTTTTTTTTTTTTTTTAATAGGGGGTGAACTGGAAGCCGTGGAAAGGACATGAATTCTCCATCCCTTATGTGGAGTTAAAAATTCGCCCTCATGGCTACAGCAGAGAGCGTTTTCATGGCAGAAAGAAGCGGACTTTGGGAGGAAAGACAAGGATGTTCTGATGGCCTGTCCAGCAATCTCTGCAGGAGACAGGACTAGCTGGGGTCGGGGCTGAGAGAGTTTAGGGCCGGTGGGTGGTGGCGGCTGGGAAATGGAAGGATGGAGAGAGCTCGAAGCCTGTAGTTTCTGAGACTGCTGGGTAACCCGCAGAATACTTCAAATCCTAGAGGGTCCTTCCCTGTCGCCTGCAGTTTTGTCCGTCTCCGCTAGGGGGCCCAAGTGTCAGCACCGTCCTTCTTGCACAGTCTATTGGGTGGGAAGATGGTTTTGGAATTGCAAGTTTTTTTCAGCTCAGTTTTGATACTAAACATACTGGAAAAATGAATCTTCCAGGATTTCACTGATTGGTGCACACATATGTATTTAAAATATCTGCTAATATAAATCCTCTTTCTAGAAAGACACTTCAAAGAGAGATTCCGGTTGTGCAGGAGTCAGGGCTAAGGTGCTTCCCACTTCCTGTGGTTTTGAGGAAGAAAGGATAAATCCCACTCCTGTTTATTTGCTGGTGTGATGAGGAAGAATGAAGAGGGGTCGAGATGGATCCCATGTAGCTTGGTTCTGACCCGTCTCCAGCATGCTGGGAACCAAAGCTGCCATCTTCCTATTTTTAACTGCCCCCTTTCCAGTCATTTGCATAATCATTTTCATAGATCTGCATATGTTGTAAATAAAATCTCATTTCAGTTTAAATAATTTCACTCTTTTGAATACTAGCTCCTTTCCAAGACTCTTCCCTGACTCCCTTCACGCCTACCAGGCCCTCAGCCTCCCTCTGCCCCTGGCACCTAACACTGCAGGAGCTGAGTTTGCAGGCAGCAGGCACCGAGAGGCTTACTGGCTTTGACTGGATGCTGGGCAAGGCAGATCCTTTTTTTTGTTTCTCTTATTTTTGGAAGGTTTTCTGTAGCCAAGTCAGTGACCATTGAAGTAACTTAAATTCCTATTCAAGAAATAAACCACTTGATTTAAAAAAGCCAACTTTTAACTTGTGTTATTTCCTGCACATAAGTACACTTGAATTCTAAATTTAACCTAAGCACAAGTGAAGGTACAGTTTTGTGCTGTCATGGAATTCAGTTGACTCTAGTCTCCCTCCTGCGTGGTAGCGAATAGTGACACCTGGAATGTAGAAGACATATGTGAGTGGGAGGGAAGGCAGGTGTCCTAGAAGCCCTGGTGCCCTACTGCACACCACATCAGGGGTGTCCAGGTTTCTCCAGTTTTTAGCCTCTGGGAAATCACCAAGCCATCTTCCTGCAACCACTGTTTGTCACCTTTTTCCAGTGTGCTTCTGTCTCTCTTTCCCGATCTTCCCAGACAGACACAATGAGCACTGCAGCTGCGGGACCTAATAATGAGTGGCCCAAATGAAGTCCAGTGTCGATGTTGGGGCCACTCATTAAAAACTGTGTTTGCATGTTGCTCATTAATCGAGAATCTGTTAAGTGTTGTCCTGCTTTGAATGAGGCTGTGTGCTTGGCACTAAGGAAACAGAGGTGAGCAAGCGGGGTCTAGCTCTCATGCTAGGGCTGGTGTGCATTCATTCATTCATTCATTCATCCATTTATTCTCTCACCATTCACTCAAAAATACTGATTACATCCTTCTAAGTGCCAGGTTCTATTCTAAGCACTGGACCTATTCATATAAACAAAATATTCATGTATCCACTTTGTTTATATAGTCTAGTGCTTATATTCTAGACATGGAGACTGATGATGAACAAGTAATTATGCTTATATCCCACTGGTAGAGGCTGACAATAAATGATGAGTAGAGGCATCATTGCAAGAAGTGATAAATGCTGCAGGCACAAAAGCAGGGTTAGGGGCTGGAGGTGGTGATTGGCGATGAAACCTGGAGGTGGTCGGCTCAGTACTTTACTTGTCTCTGAGACAGGATACCGGACACCCACCATGGAAGGAAGAGGTTTATTTTGGCTCACAGTTTGTGAAGGTTTCAGTGCATAGCCAGCTGGTCCCAAGGCAGGGCAGCACGGCAGAGGAGAGGCTGCTCACGACCAGGCATCAGGGAGGAGGGAGGGACGGAAATCCTTCCAGGCCACGCCCCCTGTGACCCAGCTCCTCCCACCAGGCTTCTCTTCTCAACATCTCATTTACCTACAAGATCAGCGGATTAATTGCGCCTTTGTGAGTCAGCCACCTTCCCCAAGCTCCAGTTAAGAGCACATGAGCCTTTGGGGTAACATGTAGCTATAAACTAAAACAGTGGTGTCCTTTCGGGTGCTGGGGACCTATGGAGGCCTCTCCAAAGCAGAGGTATCTACTGCGACCTGTCAGACTGCTTGTAGTCTTGATCCAGCTTTGTAGGAAGGGGAGCCTGAGTTAATTCCTTCTCTTCGAAGGCCCTCTGACTAGCTACTCAGCTCCAAGTCCTTTCCTTGAATTCCCTCCTGCTACATGCTGTGCCTATTTGCACGAAGAGCATGCACTTCAGTCACTCAGGGCCCTCAGGCTCATCCCTGCTAGGTCCAGGCTCCTTAGTAAAGAGTGTCATCTCGGCAGAGTGAATCCCACCTCAGGGATTGACTCAGAGCCAGTGGATGATGGCCATGCTTTTGAAAATGCTTCTTTTCCATAGATAGTAAAATACAGATTTCTGAGCTTTTCCTTAGATGTTCTGAGGTGTTGGTTGGGGCCACAGCTGGTGCCCAGCTGGTGGCCAGAGCTTACATAGCTTGGATGTGGGGCCGCTGGTAGTTGCTCTGGAAGTCTGAGGTGGCAACAGATTATAGAGCTCATGTTCCAGGTTCTTTGACCTCAGTGTTTCTCTACCACTAGCTATGAGGAGGGGAATTGGAGTTGGTCTGTATTCTTTTGCCCATACAGCTTATGCTGCTCCGCTGGGGGGGGGGAGGGCTAAAAATCCTCAACTGTCCTTTAAGGTTCTACTAGGGTGAGGAAGGCAGCTAGAGCTTGTTTGCACAGGATGTTTATCTGACTACAGAAAGCTTGGACCTCTCTCTGTGCTTAACCTCATTTTAACATGAGCTGCACTGGCAGCTCCAACTCTGGTAGCTGCGTATAGGTCATAGAAAGGGTGTCTGGGTAGACCAGCTTTTCAGAGAGGGTCAACCAGTTTTCAGTCAAGCTATGAGCCATCAAGGTGTTGCAGCTTGCAGGAAGCAAGTCCTATCCTTTAGGACAAACTGAAGCAAGGAGAAGTCTGTAGAGGCACGGGGTTGGGAGTGGTGAAATCACGGAGTGGACTGAAGTTCCTAGAACACAGTACGCTCCAGGTAAGACCCATGGAATGGGGTGAGGAGCAAAGCAAGCAGCTACCTTGATTGGCTCACACGGTAGTAGGGAGGAGGGGGGTGGGACGCTGATCCCATCCAAGGTTCTGAGAAAGCTCATGGACCCAAAGGATGGTGGAGGTAGGAAACCCAGTGGCAGAGATGAGGGCGTGGAGTGTGTGGTGTTCTGTGGAGGGAGACAGTGGTTTGTTTGGGGTGAGGAGAGCTGGGGAGCTGGGCTGCAGGGATTCTTGCTGTCAGAGGCAGCGAGAGCTTCACTCCCGGAGTCTGCTTCTGTGCGTCTCGGGAGGGTCCCATGAACCTAAGGTTCCAGCTCTGCTGGGGTCCTGTGGGGAGTGAGAAGCAGGGCCCAGGACTCATAGAGGATCCTTGGGACAGTGGTACATTCATAGAGTTCCACGCTCATGGAGTGCCACAGTCAAGCTTGTAGTTTGGAACCGTGTCTGGTGGCAGGGTTGGCAGGTACGCATTGGCCAAGAATACACTCTTATTCTTTTTCTTTTTCTTTTCTTTTTTTGTATTTTAGGGAAGGGTCTACAGGGAGTTCAGGATCTCACTACTAAATCAGACTTGTAATGATCTGCCTGTTTACAGCCTCCCAAGAGCTGGGAATACAGGTGCACGGCACCACACCCAGTCTCTATACTCTTATTTTTAGTTGACACAGTTGCACAGATTTATGCGGTATCGTGTGATGCTTCACTATGCTTACACACTGAGGAATGATCAGATTGAGGCAATGGCATACCTACCGCGGCAGATACGTATCATCTCTTGACATGGGAGAATTCAAAATCCTTTCTACTAGCTGTTTTGAGCTATGCAGTGAATTGTTGCCAGCTGCGGTCGTCCTACGAGCTGTGGAACGTCAGAAGTTATCCCTGCTGCTCAGGGCACCCTGAACCCACTAACCATCCTCTGGGGGAGGGAGGGCAGAGCAAGACCCACAGACAAGCGGGGCTCTTGTAGGAGCAGGCAGCAGGTAAGGGCTTGCTGGCCCAAGGCAGAGACCGTGGGAAAGGGGAGGGGGTGTGGATGAAAGCGGTCTTTATGATGGCGGAGCAGGCCCCGCGGAGCGGCGGAGGGTGGCTCCTTCCTTGGCAGTGTTCAGAACTGGTTGATCTTGATAGCATCTTCCTCTGGGAATGGGTCCTGAAGTTTATGTTTGTTAAATGAGGTCAAGAGTGCCGCTTTATAACTTAGAGTTCTCAGGGGTTCCAAGATGATTCAAGCCAGAAAATTCTGAAGGAGCCTGGGACAGAGATAAAGAATGACTCAAAGAATCATGATCAAGGAAGGAAACGGACCATGTGTAGGAGTGTGGAGAGAGAAGGTGGACAGGGAGAAAAGCAAATGAAGCAACAGCATGTCAAAGGGAAAACCCGAAAAGACAGGAGAAGTTATAGGCGAAATGTAGTAACTGGAAAAGGCCCTCAGCCTAAAAATCATCCAAGTCAGTACCTTGAGCCGTTTGGCAGGGTGGTGGAGAGGGTCCGGAGGGAACTGATCAATATGGGTCCACAGGACGTGATGGCTATGGTGGGGCCCGCAGTGCCGCCAAGAGGCTTGCTATACCCAGCCTAGCCAGCAGATGGCGGTGCTGTGCTGTCGGGAGCCTCTCACTCCTGTCTCTTCTCAACCCTGAGAAGTTCTGGGGCTGTGGTTCTCCTCTTCTCTCCTCTCTCGGATTGCATCGTGTGGAATGTCCGCCTGGGTGCCCAGCTCAGCATCCCGCCTGCAGCTGGTGGCAGCTTAGGCAGTGCTGCTGCTGGGCGAATGCACAAACAGGTAGGCAGGCACCGCCTTGAAGAGACTGGAGACCTGAATTCTGTCCCCAGGCGCGGTGGTGGGCCTGCATGGTGGGACAGGCAGCGGAGGTTGTCAGCGTGAAGAAAGGCAAACTTACTTTTCATATTGTTTCCAAAGTCTTCCTGTCGGCCACTTCTATGGGGAAAAATGCATTGAATTTCAATTCCAAAGTTCTAGAAGAAAGTTAGGTTCCTACGTCATTCTATAACAATCTGTTTATCTGGAACATAGATGAAATGCAGTATAATTATGAGGACAGAATTAAAAAGAACAATAGTATTTAAGTGGTATTTTAATTTAAATAAAAGGAGAAAATGAAAGGAAAAACATTTTTTACTTTGATGAATAAAGAGATTTAATCAGAGAAGGCAAAAGAGTCAGATGGGGCTTTTTGGGAAACGTCTGAAGACATCCGGGCACTTTAAAGGCTCACAGCCGGATGTGTGTTCGTACCTTGGGCTCAGCAGAAGTGCCCCTTAGCTCAGCAGGCCTGGAGGGGTCCAAGTCAGTGGACCAGGCTGGATGGGGGTACCTGGTATAGGGAAGCACTGGGGCAGGAATCGAAGGCTTTCATTTCCATTAAAGGCCGGGTAGGATGCTTCCCTCGTCTGGGCCTCATTTTCTTCATTTATAAAGTGGAGCTCACAGGAGACAATGAAATGTGTTATACAGCCCTCCAGGATGGTAAAATACTGGATTGGGATCTTTAAGTCTTTCTAATTTCATTCCAAATTCTGAGGTTATTTTATCCTTGATGCAAGTCTATCTCTAGCCGACTCTAAGGATACGAATAGCCAACTTATATGGTTCACGAAAGAAGGAAGAGAAAGGGTCGGGTGAGAGCCGGCCAGATAGCTCAGTGAATTCAAGCGCCTGGAAGCAGGCGCAGGTGCCGGCCCTGCTCCCGGAGCTCGCTGAGATGGCAATTGAGACTGGACGTGGTGGCGCACGCCTATAATCCTGGCTCTTGGGAGGCTGTACACAGGACAATCACTACGAGTCCGATCTAGTAGTGAGACCCTGAACACCCTGTAGACCCTTCCCTAAAATACAAAAAAAGAAAAAAAAAAAAAAAGAGAAAAGAAAGAAATGAAAAGAAAAGAAAAAGAAAAAAGAAAAAAAGGAAAGGTCCTTTTCCCCTTGCCCTGTCTGCATAGTTTGATTGTACAGGCTGTTGTTTTCTTCTCGAAGGTTTTTCCTCTTTGATTCCTAGGACACAATTCTCTCATCATTTCCTTTCTACTCTTACTAATAATACCTAATATTTCTTGAGGACTTTGTGTAAGCCAGGCCCTGTGTTAAGTGCTTTGTATGCATGATCTCAGTTAATCTTCTCCTTCCTGTGAGATAAAGACTATTACTAGCTCTGCTTTACAGATAAGGCTTAACAGAGAGATTAGGCACCCACCTAATTTCTGTAACCAGTGGGAGCTGGCGTGAGCTTGGGGGCCACTCTAGTCCTGAGTCCCATCCCACAGACTTAGGAAGCTTTCTCAGTGGTGTTTGTCAGGCGGTCCCCAGCATAGTCCTTTCAGAGTATAGCTTCGCGTTGTTGGCAGCCACGCGAACCATGCCTCGTTTCTCAACTTTGTGCTGTGCGATTCTCTGTACTTGGGTGTCCTGGCAGCCTGTCCTGACATTGGCTGTGGGGCTTCACTCTATGGACGCTGGAGCACACTCTGTTGCAGTGATTTGTGTGCTTTGTGTCCCCTTGACCAGGCTGTAAGCCTCTCCAGGATGAGCTGAGCTGTGGGAAGTGCATTGGTCAGCTCTTCATTGCTCTGACCGAATATCTGACATACAAAACTTACATATTTATTTCTGGGTAGTTGTGTTAGAAGTTTCCACACCTGGGCAGCTGGCTCTGAGGCGAAAGCATCATGCAGAAAGGTGTGGCAGAGGATGGTGCTTACCTCTCGGCAAACAGGAAACAGAGAGCAGGGAAAGAGGTGGAGAGGAGCGCTAAGGGACCAGATGGAGTCCCCAGAGTCACACGCCCAGACCCACCGGGACACACCAGAGTGTGCTTCACTAACCTCGTAGGCATCTCTCAAGCCACTCAAATCAAGGTTAATCATCACACATGGTAAGCAGTCCAAAATGGTTATGGAAAAATAGCCTAAGGAGGGAGCTCGAGTGGGCACCTGTCGCCCTTCCTGAATAAAGTGTCTCTCTGTGGGGCTGCCCACAGAGGCCTTCGAAAGGAAGCTGAAGTCTGGTTGAAATGATTCTTCATTTTATCTTACAATCTTGTGACTTTGAATTTGGGTATAATATTAAAGTCAAAGGGGATGAGGCCAGAGCAGAAATGCTGATGGATGATGGCGTTGTGTAAATCCAAGCATGGTTAGGCCTCAGTGGGTGACGGACAGCATGTAGCTGGAGTTCCCCTCAGGGGTGCAGCAGGTACTCCTCCCTCCATAGGTCATTTCTGGGCATCGTCCCTCCTTTGCCCTGGAAGGTTCAGGAATGTTCTCAAGAACTGAATAGGAAATTGAATGATGTCTGTTTCCTGGTTGTTATGAGTGTTGGTGACCCAGAAGGGGACCCGGGAATGAACTAGAGCTGCACAAGCCACTTGTCTGGTGGGAGACGGAAAAATGTATGGCTGTAGCCTTCCTTCCTGTGCCCTCTCTAAATAGTCAGCACAGCATTTTGCTAACTCATTTGCTTGCTCTCCTCATGAGGCTAAAGACCCAGGATGTCTGGGGCGAGAGCTGCTAGTCTCAGCTGGCTACTGAGCACTTGAAATATGGCTAGTGTGACTGGGCTAGCTTTGAACTGTACTTGATTTTCAGGATTTTATTTTTAATTTATGTATTTGATACAGGGTCTCACTACACAGCTCGGATTCATAGTGCTCCTCCTGTCTCAGCCTACCCAGAACTGGGACTACAGATATGGGCTACCACACCGAGACTGGGTTGCTGGTTCAATGCACCCGGGGATGGGGCTGGTGTGGCATGCTGTATAGGCAATGGAACCCCAGTTCCCGCACTTGCCTAAGCAGGAGCTTAGTCCTCTGAGGTATTGTGCTGGCCTGATTTTCATGATTTTAAACAGCTACATGTGGCTAATGGTGCTGTACGGGACAGTATGGAGAACGTTTCCACCATTCCTAGCTCTCTTGGACGGTACTGCCCTTGATGGCTTCTGCTTTGATGGCAGTCTTAGCATTATCAGGAGAAGAATCAGGAGTATTTAAATCATTTCATAACTGACATGCAGGTATGGCAAACCTGAAAACAAGGCGCATGCGCGCGCGCACACACACACACACACACACACACACACGTTTTTCTATCCCTAGTGGTTACTATAGAGGTTCTTGATCTTCCCTTTCCAGAACCAGATTGATCCAGGCCTCAGTTTGCTTATTTCTGTGCTGTTCTTCCCTTTCCTGTAAGAATACATTGATCTTCTTGAAGAGAAAGTTCTTCGGTGCCGTTTAATTGTGATGGTCAACTTGACGGGCTGAAGAGACTGCTGGGCTGATGCCTGAGTGGTGGGGGCACTAATGTCGCCAATGGGTTAGAGTTCACATCTAAGATGGCTATTAGGAGAAGAGGCCTAGTTGGTGGAAGTGGGACACGGGGGCGTGGCCTTGGGCACTCTGGGTCCCAGCAACTTCCTCTCAGGCTCCTTCCCTGCTCTCTGCTCTCTGGCAGTCTTGAGGTGAGCAGCTTGCCTCTGCCTTGCTCTGCAACTAAGGTGCCTCTGTACCTTGGAGTCAGCGGGCCACAGACAGAAACCTTGAGGCCAGGAGCCAAAAAGAAGCCTCTTCTTTAAACGGTGGGTGTCCCAGGGATGAAAATGAATATACACTGCCAAAGAGCATCGTCGTACCTCTCTGCAGCTGCCCTCTCTCGAAGAGTTTTGTCTGAGGCTGTCTGCTTGGCAAAGAGGGTGAGAAAGCCACATTCCTAGTTTTCCAACCTCTGACTCTACCAGAAGACAGCAGTGACCAGCAGGGCAGGGCCTTTTGTGTCCCAGGAGGAAAGTCCCTGCGTGCATCATTTCTGAGGGAGGACCAAGCAGAGGTGATACCTACTGTGATGGAGATAACCAACCGCAGCACACAAGGAGGCTAGGCACAGCTTTTAGTTTTAAAAATATTTATTTAAATAAAAATTTCCTTTTTGTGTCTGAATTTTACAGAAAAATATTGACAAATACTATACAACTTTGATCACTTATATTCTTCTTTATAATGTGAACTGCCCTTTCTTTACATTTTCCTCTTTGTCTTTCCTTCCCCTCAAGAAATAAAAAAGCAAAAAGTCAGTCCACTGAGCAATGGAGATAAGATGTCTGATTGTCATTCAAGCCTGGCTAAGGCTGGACAGGCCAGGACTCGGGGGAGGGGTCCTCTCTGAGCTTGTGCTGGCTTAGGAAGGCTCTTCTGTTTCAGTCATTTCTACTCATTAATTTAACCCTCTCCCAGGTTCTGAGATTCCACTGATTGCCAGTACAAGTGAAGAATAAAGGAACAGCACTGGCATGGTATGGGAAAAAGGGACTAGAGAATGGGAAAGAAAGATAAGCGTAAACTGAGAAGCAAAAGCAAAGGGCATCTGCCTTAGCTCCTTTTATGTTTCCACAGATCCAAGAAGAACATGAGGGTCTGCTACGTGCCTGGCACTATTCTGGGCACTCCAGAAAGGCTGGGGTGGGCGCTAAATCCCATTCCATCTGGGGTGTTGTGGGTCCCACACTGTGGAAGCCGTGCAGAAGAAGTTTCTGGGTGTCTCATGCCTGGAGCTGGAGCAAGTCTATTTGATTGGGAGACAGCAGGGATACTGTGCCTGGGGACAGAGGCCCTGCCATAGCAATGACAGCTGACTGCGGCTTTAACTCAAACTGGCAGCCAGTTGCCATGGAGACCATGGTCCCCAACCCAGGTGATCCACGCTCCTGGATCATATCTGACATCCCATCTTGGCTGTCAGCTCCCACACCTCCTCCCAAGTCGTCCACTTTGGGGGGACTGAGAGCTGAAGGTGGGAAGAACAACTCAGCCCAGTGGGCAGCAGCAGACATGGGAAGCATGTGAAACGGGACATGACCAAACCGTCCTGTGCCATGCAGGGGACAGCTGGATACTCCAGTGCAAGCTGTCTGTGTGATAAGGGGATGGATCATCAGAATGCCCACACTTAAATGCCTAGAGACTTTAGGGCTACGTAGAGTGAAAAGGTGACTGGCTTTAAAATGCAAATAGGCCTGAATTAGATTCATGTGGTTATCTGTTAGGAGACCCTGATACTAGAGCCACTACCAGTACCCACTCTCCACTACCAGTACCCACTCTCCACTACCAGTACCCACTCTGCATAGACCGGGGAACACCCGGGGAGCAGCTGAATTCCAGGTAACCCAAATGAGCAAACAGAGCACCTCTTTGCATTCACATAGTTATTGAATTTGGTTTTCTGCTACTATCACTGTCATAGCTTAGCTACCTTATTAATTAGTGATTTTGCCACTGTCTAGAACAGCTTCTGTGGGAAAATATTTAAAGAAAGCTCCGCGGCAGATTTGCAAATGAACTGTTAAAATACAATCCATTCCCAAGTTGGGAATTATTTATCTTTGTAATGTCCTCACAATAGAATCAAAACACAACCAGCTGGTCCTAAAGGTGGATTAACTCTGCTTCCCAACCTCAGCCTGGGCAGGGGAGGGGCTCTGTGTGCTGCAGATCTTGTTTCCATGTCTTCCTGTTCCCCAGGGCACACGTGTTGGCTGGACCTTTGGCACTGAGCGTGCGGTCCTGCAAGCCGACACCTCGTCCAGTCCACAGCAGCATGTCGGGGGCTCCTGCTGAAGAGAAGGTCACTTTGGGGAATGGTGAGGTACTGCAAGCTTACCCTAAGCCTTAGCACGCCGCCAGCAGCAGCCACAGTGAGGAGGACCCACTTGCCTGAACTTCAAGATAAATATTAGTAAACATCGTAGAGCTTCAGCCTAGTTTCGCTGAAGCTGCTCATCCTGCACTCCTGCAACATGCCACACGTACACTGCATTCTCTTGAAATCATTTCTGGGGTGGCTTCTTTACCCCTCTACTGGAGACTGTCTTTAATTCCTTCCCTACTGAGAAACTGGTGACAAACAAGGTACCTAGCTGGCTTGTGGCATCTTAGTATCCTTTCTGTAAAATAGACATTGCACAGGTGCGTAACTGCAGCCTGCTGAAGTGAATGAGTGGATTTCCGTAGCTTGCTAGCAGTCACTGCCCAGAGTGGCTTGTGCTTGCTCAGAAAAGTCCACCTTGGTGAGGGGGTAGCATCTCAGAGAGGTCTTGGCTGACACTAAAACATCCATCAGTGGTTATGAGGGCCTTGTGACAAGTTCCAAGAAAGGAGCGAACTTGGTGTGTCCATGTCAGTATCCACCGGGAGGGGACTGTACCAGGTTCCTGGAATGTCCAAATGTGAATATTACTGTAGAAGGCTTTGTAAGTACAGGAGGAGGGAAGCATACAGCTCCAACCTGAGTGGTGTGTAGAATAAACAGTGCCCAGGAGTGTGGCCTGGCCGCGTCACTGTGTGTATGTGCCTAAGCCTGGATATACTTTTTTGTGAGGTGCTTCTGCATGTGTATTTAATGTACAGCCTCGCAGGAAGTATGTATTTAAAGGCCAGCTGATGAACAGAAATACACCTGCCCATGTACCTGCTGCCTGAATTTGCAAAAGTGTTCCGGGTGTGTACACATGCAAGCCATATCAGCATGTAAGCATCAGTGTTCTTTGTGCTTTTATTTATAAGGTATGCCAGAGGCAGGGACAGGTGGAATGCACATCTGCTTCTGTAGCGAAGCATTGCTACTGGACACATAGCTGCCAACGCAGTGCAAGAATTGGCCATGTGCTCCCCTGGGAGCATCTTGCCCTGGGACACTCGGTCTGAGATTTGTTCCAGGGTTGAGCAGTTACTCTGTGGACACAAGTGCATCATCTCATGGATTCCTTCTCCCCAGTCTCTGTGTGACTCGAAGGACATTTGGCCCCAGAAGGAGGACACCTGTATTTACTGCTAATAGATGGGCAGGGATGGCCTCTTCTCCATTTGGAGAAGCTTGGGTTGAGCAGAGATCCAGAGGTCTTCCTCATCCCCCTTCTTCTTCTTCTTGTGTCGGTCTGTCTGTGGGCGGTTCTTGCCTGCTCGGCTCCAGCAGCAATGGCAGCAGATGAAGAAGAGGGTGAGGATCATCACTACTGGGAGCCCCAGGAGGACGGCCAGGCAGATGGTGTTGAAGATGCCCTCCTCATGCTTGGCCATGATGGTGTCCCAGATAGAGCTGAAGAAGGAGCTGATTTTCTCCATGGTGCTTGGCTAGGGTGGGAATAGATGTCCCTTGCAGCTCACTAGCGAGTCCTGGGCTCAAGAAGACACAGCCGTGGACACTTGGAATTTATTCTTCCTTCATCTTTCAGTTGGAGCATGCCACAAATAAGACCTGAAGGGATTAAAACCAATAGCTCAAGAGAAATGCAGTGGGAATGGTTTACAATTTTAACAGCATCACCAATTTTAGGCTTAGGAAAGGGAAGAAATTGAAGATTTCCAAGAAGTCCAATGAAATTGTACTAAGACTCAATAAAGAAGATAATTTTATGGATTTAGTCAATAAACACTAACTAGTTCCTGCTAGATAGACACAAGATATTAAACTTAGGAAAGAAGAATTAATATGATATCAAATCTGGTACACAGTAGGCGATCAGAGTTGTTAGATAAATACACCAATGTGCATCCCCAGTGTGCTGGTTGGGGCCGGCCCCCTGGACTCTACTCCGTGATCTTTGGCCCTTTCCTCAGCTGCAGCTTACCTGCCAGGTGTTGCACACGTGTGCCCCATGGGACAGCTTGGTGTCTGCCCTTCTGGGTATAGATCTTGCCCAGTTTGAAGCACAAGGTGAAATGCGACATCTCGCTGCCTGTGACAAGAGACACTGGGGCTCCTCCAGGCTACGAGGTCATCAGTCCTCATCTCATCTCACCCCTGCCCTCATGTTGGCTTGCTGTCTGCGCTGTTCCACGTCTTCTCCCCCCTCACATCCCCTTCTGTGCCTGCTTCCCTCCACTTTCCACCTTTGTCGCCTCCTTACTTTCATGTTTTGAGCTGCTTGGTTCCAAAGTCTCCTTCCCCTCCAGTCTGTTCCCTTTCTCAGGAGGAAAAGGGACTTGAAGTTCCTTGGATGCCAGGTGGTCTCAGGATGCCTCTCTGCTCCCACACCAATCTCAATATAGAGCAGGGACTGATATCTTCCTCTGTCATCCCTCTCCCTCTCTGCATGGGTTTAGGGCTCAGCTCTTAAGTACACCAGGCTTCCTTGGGATCTGGAATCCATGGGTTCTTAGGTCTTTGAGGGCAAATATGATTCAAGGACAAGACTTTGAGGGCAAATATGATTCAAGAGAATTTCTTGGAGTAAGACATTGCCTTGCACCCAAATATTATTAGAGTCATTGATTTTTAGTCTGGAAACTTAGAAATCATACCAACTCTCACTTAATGTTGACAGATCTAAAGCTCAGGATGGGGAGGTGACATGTCTGGGGCCCCCCAGAGCTGCCAGACTTCTGGATGATGAGTTCAGCTGTCTTGCAAGGGTGCTGAGCCAGTGAAAGCACCAATGATAAGCATCCTATTTTGTGATACATTTCACTTAGTACTTTTCAAATCACTTTCATGTGCATTTTATCTTGTAAGCGAGCAACAGGAGGGTACAACAACTGTGGATAGATGCAGGTTCCTCAGGTTCCACCTTACTGCCTTGGACCAGCCGGGATGTGTCACCCTCTTGGGTGCTATGTTATTCCCAGTACCCCAGGGGTTGTCCTTGGCAGTCTCATTCCTTGGACAGCATGCTCTGGACATGTCTCACATGTGTAGGGGCCTTGCACCTCCCCTGGCCCCACTCAATGCTAGTCCTGGAGAGTGGCCTGCCACCCTACTCCTGATTTGCACACTTTTTGCAATTATACAGATAAATGTGCCTCCTGTGCCCATTGGCCTACAGCCACTGAAATAATGCTGTAAGAGGACAATAATATTTTAGCTAACTTTTATTAAGTGCTTAATTCTGTGCAGGCATTGTTCTAGGCACTTTCCTCCTATTAAGTCACTTAATCTTCATTACAGCCCTATGAAATAGGTTTCATGATTCCCCTCTTCCACAGTGAGGAGGAGATGAGGTCCAAGTCACACATGGCTGGCCTGGCCCTGCTCCTGGGGAGTTGGGTTCCTGAGGTGAGATAGTCACAGGCCTCGCTCTGGGGCTGCCTATTCCTTTGTATGGCGTCAACCCAGTTCTGGCAAGCAGCCCAGGATTCGCAGGATCTTACAATCCTTGGCTACTCCCCAGACTGACTTAAACATTTATCCCAGTCTATTGTAGAAAAGACTGCAGAGATTTACTTTGCATTGTTAGGCACTTGCCAAATGCTGAAAGAAACATACAATAAAACCCGAGTCCTGCCCAAGTGCAGGTTTATGGAAAGCACATGGCTGCCCGCATTGAAATTCAACATATACCAGAGAAGCCTTGTCCCCTCCCTGGGGCCTCCTCCAAGACTCCTCCTGCAACCAGGGACATCCACATGGATCTGCCCACACACAGCCAGGATCCCTGGCCTCCTATCGCCCCTCCCCCTGCATGCTCTCTTCTCAGATCTCTCCCACTCTTCTCCCTTACCTTCTTCCTTGGTAAGGCCTTTGCTTTCATTCACCCCCTGTGGCCCATGACATTCTGGTGCATCTGTTGTGGGAGACTTTGGGTGCTTTTCTCTTCTTTGGTCCTACACATAGCCTTCCTGGGACCAAGTGTCCCCTTTCATGTATAATCAATGATTCACTTCAGAGGGTGATCGTCTCCACCATGATTGATAAATTATGCTGCAGCAGGGTGCTACTGATCGCTGCAGGGAGCGGAAGGGTGCCAAAGGCTCACTCTGGGGGGTCAGCTGTGGAGAGAGGAAGGGCAGTGAGCCTTAGGAGAATATTAGGAAAGTTTCCATGAAGGTGGAGACTTTTAAGAAGGTCTTGACAGGTACGTAGGATTTTGACAGAAATCTAGGTGAAAATGATGTTCAGACATTCAAGGCTGAGAAACTTCTAGTGCCTGAGTGGGAGAACAGGACATCTTCTGCTGAGCCTCGGGCTCAGGGTAGCAGAGGAGATGCCTGCAAAGAAGCTAGGCCTGCACACCAGGGGCAGAGAAGCGCTGGGTGTTCACCTGGGAGCTTGGTAACAGGACAAGTTGTGATCAGAGCTGCCCTTTAGGAAAAGATCCAAAGATATACAGAGCTCTGGAACATGGTTTTTGGGTTTTTTTTCCCCTTAAAGAAAAAGAATTTATTAGGTCACCTAAAGATTTTACGAGATAGGTAATAAAATAAGTTCTGAATTACCTGGCATTTATGGTTAAAAGAGAAAACCACTTGTGCTGTTGTCATTTGTACTTCTCAAAGAAAGAAAATGCTTTAGCTCTGGAAAGAGGTAAATGGCTCTCTGGCATTGGGGATACCTATTTTAGGAGAGCTCTTTATCCATTTAACAAACATTTATTAGACACCTGATATGTGCCATGCTCTTTGTTAGGAGGTGTGGATTCAGCAGTGAACGAGAGTTACAGCTTGTGACATCATGGAGTTGTGTGTATTCTAGGGGAGTTATTATTGAAGGATTGTGTCATAGAAGACAAATATAATAAGCAAACTCCGACGGCGTCTGCTTAGTTGGTTGAAATAAAAGCATGCCCTGAATAATGGGTTTTTCTGTGTGTCCCAGGGCCTCCTGCCCCTCCCACCTTTGTCTTAAACTCGCCCATCCCCTGGCACCTAAAATAGCTTTTGAATAAATAGATTTCTTTTCAAACTAAGGCTAAGTCAATAACTCACTTCTGCATTCCTAAAGGTACTTACTTGAGTCTGTTCTCCACACAGCCAAAGAGCGTATTCATTACCATTTGGAACCCAGTCTGGGGAAAATTCGATTAAAAGGTATTCTTTATATTTTTTTAATCTAAGAATTCTCTTCCTGGCCCCCCTAGGTTACGTGCTGAGCTCTGCTAATCTATAGTGTTTCATTAGTATTTATGAGCTTTGCATTATTAGCATTTCCAGGAAACAATCAAATATCTCTTTGGTGGTATGAATTAAAAGTTGGCGCTTCTGTGGGATGTTTTGCAAAAGAAGCCACACTCTGGGCCACAGAATGCTCTCTGGGAGACCTTGCCTTTTGTCGGCTTTCAAGTATCACTGACACTATGTGAAATAGAATTCATCTGTTATTGTAAAACCAACAATAGATGCCAATCAACCTTCACTGTTTGACTGTGGTTGTGGAGGGGAGGGTGAAAAGAGAGAAGGGAGGAGGCCCCTTGAATTCTCTGAAAGCCAAATATTATCGTCTCTCCACCCTCTGTAATGTCTAGGGGATGGGGAGAGAGCCCTTCTGTCTTCCTCTGTCTTCTGCCTGCAGGTCTGAAGGGGTTGATGGGAAGCAAGATACCAGGACCAGAAGGCTGACCTGGGTTCGAGCCCTGGGTTAACCTTTATGACCTTGGCAAGTGTTTCAGCCTTTGCTACACAAAGAAGTTAATAGGCTTCCCTCATAATGATGCTGGGAGGATTAAAAAGGCTCAACCTATTTCATGCATTTTGTAAACTGTACTATACAAACATAATCCATAAAACAGTGGTTATCTCCAAATAGCAATGGACTAATCCCAGCCGTGAGCTTTTCCTCCCCATCCCTGACCTGTAAGCCCAATTGTCATTGGCAAAGAACTACAAGCCCCTATCTTACTCAAATGACACAGGCTTCATGAGGGACCAGCCTGCTCGTGGCTGGTCTGTAGGTACATGCCTGTGACTGTAGATTTTCATCCAATGGCTATATACAGAAGGGTCATGTTGGGAAGATCTGCTGATGCCTGGAGCATTGCTGAGCCCGGAGGTAAGGCCTGAGCAAAGTGACCAGCTGTCTGCAGGCCCCAGCCTCCCTCCCAGGCTTTTGGAACCTGAGAACAGTACAGGCATGGCCCATTCCTCAGGGAGGACCGATCCACACTCCAGGAGCCAAGCTGCCATGATGTTGTGTTCTGGGCGGCCCAGGGCTGGTGATCTGAGGGAGCGCTCCAAGACAGGGTATGGGGCATTTAATTTGCCACTTATGATTCCTGCTTATCAGATGAAATGATAAAGGTGAAGCTCATGTAAAAGATACACCTAAAGAACCGTGTCTGTCTAATAGTAAATGCTTTTTAGAAAGGTTCAGGATAGGGAGCAGGAAGGCACCCAGTTAGATCCCTAAGACTAACCCCAGAGTGACCTCTAAATGGTACAAAGCCCCAGTTTTGAGTGAGGTTCGGGTCTCCATCAGAACTGTAAGAGATTCCTCTGCTGCAGCTGTAGACTCCCAGGTGGACATGGAGGACAAGCTTATAATTT